TTGATGTTTATGTGTTCTGTTTCATTTTTGATGATTTCCACTTTCCTGGATTCATACTTTGTACATTCCACGTTTTGATTATTAATGGATGTTTGTAACTGTTTCTTCTCATCTTGAGTCATGCCACATCAGCAAATGAAGGTCCTGAAAGCTTGACTCCCTCAACATCATTAAGGTCGACTCTACTTTGAGGATACAGCTCTTCCCCAGTCGTATTTTGAGTGCCTTCCAACCTGAGAGGCTCATTTTATGACACTATATCAGACAGTATTCCAGTGCTATTTGTAAGGTTTTCACTGGCTAATTCTTTTCAGAAGTAGACTGCCAGGGCCTTCTTCCTAGTCTGGAAGTTCAGCTGAAACCTGTCTGCCATGGGTGACCCTGCTGTTATTTGAATACCAGTGTCATAGCTTCCAGCATCACAGCAACATGCAAGCCACCACAGTAGAACAACTGACAGATGCGTGGGGGCAGGGTATTTTGTTGTTGTTGTTAGGTGGAAGTAGCAGATTATTTTACACATCCATAGAAGTGCCAAATGTCTAACTCCACAGAGGCTCAATGAGTTAACTTTTAGTATCTTTAAAATACATCTTAGCCATTTTTCCTCACTAAAACTTTTGTAAGGGACTTTCTGTTAAATATTTATCACACCTCTCCCTCAAAGCCTGAGTTTTTCTCTGTTCAGGCTCACAGGTCTAATTTGGAGAGACTTTTTTCCCAGTGGAGTTTCTTTCTTACGGTATTGTTGTTGTTGTTAGCTGGCTGTTGAGTCGGCCCCTAACTCATGGGGACCCATGCACAACAGCAGGAAACACTGCCTGGTCCTACACTATCCCCATGATTAGTTGTGGACTGGACCATTGTGATGCCTAGGGTTTTTATTGGCTCATTTTCAGAAGCAAATCATGAAATCTTTTTTCCTAGTCTGTCTTAGTCTGAAAGCTCCACTGAAACCTGTTTAACATCATAGCAACTCACAAGCCTCCACTGACAGATAGGTGGTGGCTGCACATGAGGTTCATTGGTTGGGAATCGAAGCTGAGTCTTCCTCATGGAAGGCAAAAATTCTACCACTGAACAATCAATGCCTTCACCTTAACAACATTAAATAATAGTAACAATTACAATGACAACCAACATTTATTGAGCCTTTACAATGCTCTAGGTATGTCTGTTATCTCATTTAATATCTTCAACAACACTTTGAGGTAGGGATTTTGATATTATCCCTGTCTTACAAATGAGGAAACTGAGGCACAGAGAGATTAAACAAACAACTTGCCAAAGGAAAGGTTGCCAGTTAGTGGCAAGAGCCAGGACTCTGTCGCAGGCTATCTGGCGCTCCAGAGTCAGCACTCTTAAGCAGCATGCTCCCCTGCTTCTCCCACAGTGATAAGGGAGAGATGCTGTCAAGAAGGGCTGCCCAGCAGCTTCTAGTGCTCTCCCAGAGGTGTTCACACATCTTGGGGATGTTCACAGCCAGTGGCATACATGATGCTAATAAAGCACTTCCTCTTTCTGAGTGAGCCCTATCAACAACAGCAACAACTGATTATCAGAGGGTCTCAGAGGACTAGCAGAGTGAGAAGGGGGATGGGTATCTCTGTATCTTGTAAAAAGCAGTTACCTGCTGGTGAGTGAAAAGTTTAAAGAATGGGTGAATCTAACTGTGTCATCCAACTACAAACATTCGTAAGTTATGAAGGAAAGGGACTGTGATTAACATATCAGAAAACATGTCGTCATTTTAAATTCTGCGGTCCCATCCTTCTTCTCTTCTCCATGTCTTCCATGCCACATCTCTTCCTAAATGCTGAACAAAGAGATCACGACCAGATCATCAGTCATTCCCTCCTTTCCTGGGGCAGTGCTAGGCTAGCGGTTACACTTTAAGTATTTACTATGTCACGAGCCGCCTTACATACAACCCCTTAAGTATTTACTATGTCACGAGCCGCCTTACATACAACCCCTTAA